CACATATAAAATGCTTGTGATACTGACTAAATTTATCAATTTTTTTTTTTTTTTAAAGCAATTGAAAGAGGCGGCATATTGCAAATTCTTTCAAAATAATTTATAATATTTAGTAATATATTTAGGCGAGATTTTAAAGTACCACGTAAGTAGAACTTTAAATATTCAAATTGAACCAAATCATTCATTTTGGAAAGTTTATATTCATAAAACATTTGATTTAGTGTAAATTGAATTTTGAAAAGCATAAATTTCGATATACACAAAGTTCTTTTTAGGAAGTTTATATGTACAAAACATTTGATGTGGTATTTTTTATTTTGAAATGCATAATTTCAATATACACAAAGTTTTGAATTTGAAATTTTTAAATTTTCAAGTGAACTCTAAATTTTAAATGCAATTTAAATTCGTCCACATTGAATCAACTTGATTTTTTTGAATTGAGTATATTTATAAAAATATGTGCATTGGTGTTTTTAATTTTCAAAAGCATAAAATATTGTATACACGAATACTTTATATTCGAAATTTTTAAAGTTTAAGTTGAACAAAATCATTAATTTAAAGAATGGTTTTTAAATTTAAACTTGAACAAAATGTTTCATTTAAGAAATGATTTTAAATTTTAAATTGTTCAAAATTTTGATAAATTCATCCAAAACTTGAATTCATTGCGATTTTTTCAGAAATTGTAAAGAAAAGTAAGTATAAAATTGTTGTAAAAATAGTTGATTTTGAAAAAAAAAAAAAAAGAAAAAAACTGTAATATAATTTTAGATTATTGAAAAAAAATCCATGTGATTGAGTAGAGATAATATTACCTTATTAAGTAGAAATTTTTAAATTTAAACATGAACAAAATCCTGGGAATGATTTTTAAAAATATTTTTTTAGAAACATGTAATGATAAATAAAGTTGAATTTGAATGTTTCACTTAAAAAATGGATGCAACTTTACACAAAATCGGATGTAAATTTTCTGCAAACCCACTATTTTGGGGTTCAATTAATGCAGCGATTCTATAGTCATTTCAGATTTTTAAGAGCCCAATTTTTGAAGAAAAAAAAAAGTTGCCATAAATGGCATGTAATTAATGCTAACCTGATTTTGACTTACTATTTTGGAGTAATTCTTTATATATATATATATATATATATATAGATGTTAAAGTAAAGGTGTTTTAAGTAGGTCATATTTTATAAAAATACTGGTCCTTTTATAGTAGATAGATAGATATAGATAGTAGATTGATATAGACTAGTGCATACCCCGTGCAATGCACGTGTACATATAATAAATCAATTATTTCTATAGGACTTGTACGTCTAGACAAAAAACAATAGGCTTGGATCATCCATATTTCACATCTTTTAATAAGTGGTGTTTATTTAAGCTAAAAAATTAACATGTTAATTATTATATAATTCCGCTAACACGTCATACTAATATTTATTTGATTTTAGGACACATATTTATTCATTGATATAAGAAAAAATAAAATTGTATTTATTCTCGTTCACCATATAATACTCAATTATTATTTATTATAAAATTTATAGTCATATAATGTCATTATTATTATTTATAAAAGTTATAGAAGTAGTCTTCTTTATGTAATGGAATTCAAAATAAAATTTTGAGTATAAATGTTTACAAAATACACACATGTTTTTTAGAATTCAATTTTCTCATAATAATTCTTTTTTTTTAAAAAAAAATGATTTAACAATTGCCAAAAAACAAATCCCTTACATGATCAAGAGATTTTTTTCTAATTTTCATCCTAAGGCTTTATAGTTTATTTAACATACTATGCAATAGAAAAATATTTTACAATAAGTTCATTTTTGAAACATAACAAAAAAAAGTGATAAAAACACTATCATAGTTGACAATAATATACAAATAAATAACATGTCGAAATTTTAAAGAATAACTAATATAATTTTATTATCTAACCATCAATAAAATCATTTGATGATGTGATCATTATCTTTTAAATGATAAATAATATTAATTTTTTTAAGAAAATATTAGTTTTATATAATTAAATAAAGTTTAAAAAATATTACTAGACAAATATTAATTATAATGAATATCAGTAAAATCATTGCATAAATTATTTAAGGAAAAAAATTTTAAGATCATATTTGGATAGTAAATGTAAATATGCAAGCATTTAATGCATATAGTAAAAAATTTCCAAATAAGGTTGTATTAAATGTGTGTTGACTTTTCTTGCTACTATTTTTGATAAATAGGTTGACTTTTAATATATACTAGTACAGAGCCCGTGCGATGCACGGGGTGTACAATTTTAAGGTCTTTTATCGAGTGTTATAATTATATAAATGAATTATATAAAAAAAATGTACGGGATATATATAGTACGTGACCTGTAATAGGCCAAAATGTGAACACGGGTGATGCACGGGGTGCACAATTTTAATGTCATTTATTAGTACAGAGCTCGTGCAATGCACGGGGTGCACAATTTTCTAGTATTTGTAATAAAAAATCATACTGTATGCACGAGACAGAAGCACTAAATGAGTCATTTCCACAGAGTTTGTCCATTAAGTAGCTCCTGAACACGGGTGCACAATTTGTAGTACGTACCATAAAATCAAAACAGATTTCCAATACATTTTGATAATAAATTAGATAATAAATTAGATAATAAATAAAGTCTTTTTTATTTTAGTAAAGATTTTACGTACTTTATTTTTTTTTTACTTATCGGATGTTATGAGATTTTTTTTGTTAAACCGATTTTATGGAATATAATACAAATACAGTTAGAGGATTGAACAAAATTAGAATAGATTTTCATACAATTAGATAATAAAAAGGAAGTGGATAAGGAAAAGAAGGAAATAGATAAGAGAAAAAAGGAAATAGATACAGAATTTTGAATCTGACTTTTTTTTAAGTATAGATAGACTTTACGTACAAATTTTGACTTCACTGATTTTATGGAATTTGTTTTGACAAAATCGATGTTAATATGGAATAAGACAAATAAATAAAGTCTCTTTATTTTAGTAAAGATTTTACGTCTTTTTTTTTACTTGTCAGATGTTATGGGATTTTTTTTTCTTAAACTGATTTTATGGGATATAAGATAAATAAATAAAATAATTAAATAAAATTCTGGAGAGAAATAGTAATGCATTAATTACGTTGAATTTTCAATCTACCGAATTTGGTAAATAGGATACCTATATAATAAGTATAGATATACAAATAAATAACATGCCAAAATTTTAAAGAATAATTAATGTATTTAAATTTATTATCTAGCCATCAGTAATATCATTTAATGATGTGATCATTATCTCTTAAATAATAAATAAAATATTAATTTTAAAAAAAAAATTATTTATTTTTTATATACTCAATAAAAAATTAAAAAATACTATTTTCAAATATGAATTATAATATATATCCCCCCTATATATTAATACAGAACGCGCTGAGCCTACATGGCTGCTTCTGGTGCTTCGGAATCCTATGTGGCAAAATTACATGCTTCGTTATTAGGCTTGGGTAAATTTTAATTTAATTCCAAACCAAAAATAATTAGGTTCGGATTACCATAAATATGTTGATTATTTATGGTCATGTTACATATATTAATTGTATTTTAATATCATTCCTTATTATAACTATTGAATTGTATATATATTTTAAAAGTTAACAACTTTTGTATTTTTTTATCAGTTTTACATATGTAATATATCAAATTAATCTTCTTTTGATGAGCTTAGATTTAACATCCATATTGTATGTATAAAAAAAATTAATTTATATTTATCTTTATAACAATAATAAAATTGTTTTTAATATTAATTAGAAAAATGAAATTATTTATCAACTAATATAATTATATTTCAAGTAGTTATATGATATAAGTTATAAAAACTAATATAATATAACACATGTAAGTCATAAGTAACACATATCATTCTAAAATATAGAGTAATATATTTTTGTTTGGTAAAAAAAGTAAACTAAATTTAATATAGTTTTTTCATTAATTTTAAAATTTAAGAATAATTATTTAACAAGCACCCGTGTAATACACGGGTGTTGTACTAATAAGTAAAATTATTGCATAAGTTAATAAAATTATTTAAGGAAAAAATCTTTTTGATCATATTTGAATAGGAAATGTGTATATGCAAACAATTTAATGCATATAGTAAAAAATATCCAAATAAAAGTATGCAATAAATGTGAGTTGACTTTTCTTGCTACTATTTTTGGTAAATAGTATGGCTTTTAATATAAGTATAGATATAGATATAGATATAGTTTAACACGTGTCAGAAAAATATTCTGCTATATATACCCAAAAAAAATTAAGAAATAATTAAACTAAAATACACATACTAATTTACAACCAACATTTGCTCTCGAACACTTGCTTCACAATCAAGGCCTCTAAGAGCATCTCCAATGTAACTTTTGACATTATAAAAATTCATCAATATCATCAACTTTTGAAAATGTGTTATTAATTTGTTCTCCAATGCATCTTGTCATGAGCTCTTTCATGATGAGGTGGATAGCATTTAATGTTAACAATGTTGAACACACTTTCTAATATCTAACACCATGTTAAACATGATGACTAATTCATTCACTTTATATTTAATTTTATTTTTTATTTTTCTTGTATTAATAATTATTTTAATTGGTCCACATATACAAATAAATTCTTATCAAATTGATGCATTGGAGATACTAATTTGATTCAAATTTCTACTCTTTTAACATTATTCATAGATGGATTAACATTACAATCATTGATTGACATGTGTTAAAAATTATAGTTTTTCAAAGGTGTAGCATTAGAGATGCTCTAAGTGCATTAGCAATCAAGTCTTAAAAACTAATAGCAATTGTAGCTTCTGCTGTAGCTCCATAAACTAATCTCTGGAAGAAACTGGAGGGTTTTTCTTAAGTTTACGATTAGCGAAAAATCGGGAAATTAGAAGAATAACGTTCGACATAGAAAATGAACTTGAGCACTCGACCCATCAAGATGGATGGCATCAAAGCACATAGTGCATGACTCGCAAGAAGCATAAATCTCGCAGTCCGAGAGCTCCAGCTTGTTGAGCTTCTTGCGGCCTGAAAAATATGCACCAGCTTGAGAAGCTTGTACAATTATGGTAAGTGAAACCAAATCTAATGGACGAGAAAATGTTCGCAAATAAACTCCAAGGCAAGACGGCAACTACATAGTATGACAAAACGATTTCATAACTTAATATAAGAATTTCATGAGGTACTGTTATGATGCTGGGGAAAGTATAATAAAATTAAAACGATATACTTATGAACTGCATGGGAACACAACATGAAAACATCCTCTATATCATCCTAGGTATTCAGTTAATGGTCGGATTTGTGATCCTCATTATTCAACTTTTAATAATTTCATATTGTTATCTTCAAATGAATAATAACTTACATCTACAGACATTGTCTCTCTAGGTAAGACCAAGATTGAATCACCAACTCGAACGTCATCCGTAGAAACTTCAATGCTGCATCAAAACATAGAACACTGTCTTCAGAGACCTCACTCCTAGATGGAGCAATTACAAGTCTTGATTTAGCTTATACAAGTGATTGTAACACAAACCAGTTCAAGCTTTATTATAACAATGACAAGAATACAAATTATTTTTACAAGTGGAATTTTTCTTACCAATTTGAAGTGCCCATTTTTTGAGTTTTGATAAAGAAACATATATTTGAATTGCAGCAAGTAGTGGATAAAATTTTGAGACATACAAAGAAAAATTACGTAACTCATATTTTATTCAATCATTTGGGTCCAAACAGATCCTAAATAATTCAAAAGCATATATGAATCAAATTATTAGAAAATTACTTTCTAGAAGCAGAACTTAGAATTCGAAATGTTCTGCAGTTTTAAGATTTGTAATGGAAATTCAGAAACATAACAACATAAACACGCGCATACACAAAAGGGGCAAACTGTAACCAGAACCTCAAGTTTCGCACTAAAAATTTCACAATATACCTTAGAATCACAGCAGGAAAACACATCACTAAACAATGAAAATAATCCGAACACGAATAAGAAAAAATAAAAAGGAAAAAGATCACAAAATACCTCTCGTATAGTAACCAATCGCTTTCTCTCCTCGTCAATCTGACCCAGCTGAGCCTGAAGTTTTTCCTTGACCTTCATCTTATTCTTCTTGATCTCTTCCTCCTTGGCCCTAAACGTCGACAGGACAAACTTCGACAACTCCTCGTCCTCCTTCAGGAGCGGCCGTGATTGATGAATTGATGAGGGAGAAGATGATGAAGCCAAAGATAAACAAATTTAAGAACACCATGCGACGGATCTAAAAAACAAAGATGGACAAATCTTGGGAGTAGTCAGGTATTCGTCTCTCCCATTAGGGGTAAAAATAGACATTTCACCCAACCACCTTAAACGCCTTGATACGGTATCCGACCTTAGAGATGGGATACACAATACCAAAAATAAGAGAAAAAAAACGGGCCATGACCATATCATGGGCTTTTTCATACTCAACCAAACAAGTTAAACTTATGGATATAATATCAATTTCTAGGATATCAAGTCCTATATGGCCAACCAAACCGACCCTAACTGTATGGGCTACGTCTGAAGATAAAATTCTACCATTATATCACAAAGCAACTGTGATTCCTAAATTATAAAAAAAAATAATAATAATAATCACTTGGGATTGATTATTGAGATACAAAGGATTAACATTACATTCAGTTGGCCACATTTTGGAGGGCTGCTGCGTAGAATGCCACCTCCCATGCAATAGATATGCAAGGCACAAGCTTGCTCAGCCAATCACAAGAAAAAATGAGCTCATATATAGTTTTCTCATGGAACACGATTTGTGATGATAAAAATGTTCTATGGCCAGCGGACGAATCAACAAGTATCAAAGTAATAATAAAAATGAAAAGAAAAAAGAAAGAAAAAGGAGAGCTAAGTTATATGTAAACAATTCATGAACAAACGAAAACGACGAGCAAGTTACTAATAGCAGCTTCAAAACCAACAACCAAATCGGAAGCTTTAATTTCTTGTCCCCATAAGGCAGATGATAGAAAAACAAACCACGAATGAACTATCAAAACCACAAGTTACTCAAACTAATTAAACTATAAAGAAGCATCTCAAGTACTTAGGAAATTAATCAGTCAAGAAAGACTTGACCCTCTCCATTTTAGTCAAAAGCGAATCTGATGATCCACATTGTTCGGCAACCCCCATTCAGATATATTCACTCCTTGCAAAGGACGCCATTTCTTTCCATCCTCGTCACGGGCCTCCACGCTTACTTCCTCTAAATCCAGCCGCCAATAGTAATTCTCCCTTTCATTCTCCATCAAAAACATATCACACAAAAGATCAACGAGTCCATTGACTCCTCCATACTTTTTAGTCACCGAAACTGTAAGCGGAG